AATCCTTCTTCTAAGAAAGCCTCTCATCGATGCCACTCCTTAATTGGCCTGAGAGCCCCTTTTTAAACAAAGCCCTCATTTCCCACAGGGCTGAGCTCTTTCTGCTATTCTGGCAGAGCTAAATCCAGACGAGGATGTGCCATTTACCACCACAAGCATACTAGAAATTCAAATGCCTAGGAAAGAAGTGAAGTACTTCCAGCAGAAGAGCGGAATTAATTTCTGTTCTGCAGGTAGGATGGGTTGCATCTGGAGAAAACCTTCTATCTACGTGTAAGCCTGTCAGGTTGTCACTTCAAGAAAAAGTGTTAAGATGCTCGTAATACTGCTCTGTAACAAACACAGGAGCAGTTGGGAGCCCCTGGACATGTTCTGCACAAAAGCACTGAACGTGAGCTAAACCAGACTGTTACGTACAAAACTTTGTCCCAGAGCTATAGGACAGATAAGGACTTAGTGAGTTAAGTCAGGAAAGGACTATGCATTCGTAAAGATGCTAGCTTTTTAACATTAATACAAATCTGTAAAAATATTCAGGTGCAGTGCAGCCACAATCTCTTCTTTAGGAGTAACCCTGCTGTCTTTGCTGTCTGCCCACACACTGCCAGGCAAGAAAAAGTGATGTGCAGAATGAACCCTACATTTTCCTTCCCTCGACTGTTACTCTGAGGCACTGTGGTTCTTTCTGTACTCTGCTAGTGGTGCTAAGCATGGCACAATATTTGAGAAAAAAAGTAAATACAAATGTCCACATCAGGACTACACAGCAGTGGCTCAACATCTCCTGTGATACCCAGAGGCACAGAATTCTCCACTGATATATATCAGACAAGCATGTAATTTAAAATACTGTTTTCTTTCTCCTTTATTTAGCCACAACACAAATACAAGAGCGGTCAACTCCCATCCAGCGGAACTCATTAGATAAGCCTGTTCAGATTAAGATTCTCAGGAAATCAACCAAAATATACGTGTACACGCCCACTCTGAAGCACCCAAGACTGCAGCAGAGCCCTTACAACACGAGGAGTGGCACAGAACAGCACCTGCGATGCAGCAGAGAAACCAATCCGCTGGGACACGTCTGTTAGGCCGCCAAGCTGCGCGCCCAGGGGGGTCCCGCTGCGCCGCGCCAGCCTCGCCCCTGCCAGGGGCACCCCGAAGCTGGCCGGGGGATAGAGCCTCGTCTCAGATCG